GATTCCAATCTCTCTCCCAACTTTCTTGTCCAACAAAAGAAGCCGCACGAGTGAAGCTTCATCTTCTAAAGGCAAAGGAAAAGGCAAGAAAAGTGCCACCAAAACGACGATTCCTCTTCCAAAGCCGCTCCTCAAGCCCGAGACGACCCCGAAGCCTCAAGCTCCCGTGCCGATCGACGATTCCAAATGAAGATGGAGCGAGAGAGCTTTCCGATGATGAGGAGCATGAGAGAGCTAGGGAGGAGTACCCCGATCACATCGACTCCGACTAAATCAGGTGTTTTCTATCCTTAAACTTTGTGCTAATTTCGTTGAGGGCAACGAAAATTTTAAGTTTGGGGGTGAAAAACATGTTATTTTTGTGCTTATTTGTTTTAGTTTGCATGCATTAGGTTTTATTCGTTTTTATTGTTCGTTTTTTCCGGAATATAAAAAAAAAAAAAAAAAAAAAAATTTGCTTGAGTCGAATGCATCTATGATTTATGATGATGAGAGATGATCAATGTTTGATGATGAAATTGCTTGTTTTATGTGATAAGGATTTGATGTTTGTTTAGCTTTCGATTCAACGGGACTTAGAGCGAATTATTGCTAGGAATCACATTTTGTGCATTGCTTTTGTTGAATGTTTTGTACTTTAAATTTGGAATTAATTTGTGCTAGATCATGCTATGTTCGGTTTTAGAACTCACCTTAGGAAATTTATTATACGAAGTATTGAATAGTGAGTAATTTGGGATATGATTTGGGCCTTCTTTGAACCGTTTGAGCCTTTCAAGCCGACCTTTTTATCGTAATTATCCTTAGAACCTTGATTTGAGCCTCGGAGAAAAGGTGTTCTTTCTGTTAGCCAATGTGTAAGGTAGAATAGGTGGAGATTCTTGAAAAATTACCCCTTGGAGTTCGGTCGAAAAATTTTTATAAGGTCCTTCTTCTTCTTCGAAAAAAAAAAAAAAAGAGAAAAAAAAAAAAAAAAAAAAAAAGACAAATATCTATGCTTCTATATGCATATAAAAAAAAAAGAAAAAAAAAATAATAAAAAAAAAAAAGAAAAAAAAGAAGAAGAAGAAGAGACTAGAAGGGAGAAATAAGGACTAGTTGTTGAATTATTTTTGAAAACTCGATCCATTGCCTCAAAAGCAAAAGTGGAGACTTTTGAACTTTTGAGAATCGAGTTTATTAAAGTCCGTAGAGGTGAATTCATTGTTTCAAACGCCTATCTTTCAAATTTTGGCGTAATCACCTAAATTCAAGAAGAATAGCCACATATACCCATATTTCCTACCTCGAACCAAAGAGCCTAACAATTGAAAGCCACAAAGCCCCAATGATCCCAATAGCTTAATGTTCGATATTAGTAGAGTAGAATAATTTGGTGAGTATTTGGAGTCAAGCATATGCATGTAAGTATAAATTTTTTCTATCTTTAATTTGCAAATATTGGATGCTTGAAGCAATTGTATGAATTGTGGTTTTTGGTAATGGTGAGTGACTAAGTGTTGTTGAATTTTGAGCTTGCGAATGCCTAAGAATTGTCATTATAATTACAAGTTCTGAAAACGTGAAGTTGGTCATTGATCTATGTGATGAGATGTAATAGTTGAGTTATTTGCTTATTGGTAGATTTTGCTTGAGGACAAGCAAAAGTTCAAGTTTGGGGGTGTGTTAAGTGTATATTTTTACACTTTATCGTACCTTTTTATTTGGGCTTTTGATGTGTTTTAACGATAATTGGTGCTTAAAGAGTTGATTTATTGTATTTTAGGTACAAATTGAAGAATTGGAAAAGTATGGGGTCAAAACTGCAATTTTGAAGAAAATATGGGCCAAAAGTGAAAAAATCAAAATTCTGAAGAAACAAGGCTCGGACCCCCGTCCCAGTTTTAGTGCAAATTCTGGGACCCCCGTCCGAGCCTCTGAAATTGCGCAGTAAAGGGATTTTAATTGCACAAGGAAACTGCCTTCTTCCCCAAGTTCTTCACCCTATATAAGACCAATCCAAGCACACAATTTAGGATTTTTTTACGCAATTTGGAGAGCAACAAAGCAACAACGAAGACGAAGAATTCGAAGACTCTAAGCATAGATTTATCGTTTATGACTTATTTTATTTGTGTTTTTCCTTTAATCATGAGTAGCTAAATTTCTTATCTCTAGGATTTTATTTGGAACCCTATGTGGGATTTATGAACCCAATTCTATGATTTTATGCAAGTTTTAATTCCGGATTATTTCTTCTACTTGTTTTATTAAGTTCATGAAACTGGCCACTTTATGCTCTTTTATGTTATTGTTAATCGCATGAATCGGAAGATCGGGTTAATAATTAGAACTGTGGTAGAAGAGCCTTTGTGGTATTAACATAGGAATATAGTTAATCTCTTAGGTAGCCATTATTGAGATTTGTGCTTAATGTTGTGTTCTAGAATTAATTGCATAGGAATATAGTAATTGAATCTAGAGTATTAGAATCGTAATACACGCGGAAGCGGGTTATGATTATTTTAGCATCTCAGGTTAATAATCCGGATTAATTGCTTGTATAATTGAAGGAATTGGGGGAATAATAATCACATAGGGGGAAGAATAAAATCCTAGGCTTGTCTACTTTGATTAATCTTCGTATTTTTTATTGCTTTCTTGTTTTTTTGTGTTTCTAATTGCTTTAGTTTAATTTAGTTTATTAATCATTTTTCGACTGTGTAGGGTGGGCTTGATAACAATTGGTAGAATTTAGCGTCTAGGATTAGATAGTTAAATATTCCCTGTGGGTTCGATATCCGGACTTAATAGTCCACTATATTACTTGTACGATACGTGCACTTGCGTGTAGGTTTTCGACCAACAGGTATGTCAATTATTTTGTTGTTCCTTTTTGAAAAACTAATTGTTCATATTAATTGACTATATAAGTTATTAAATAAGATTGCTTGACTAATTTGAAATTTGCCGACTGTATCAATCGACTTCAAACATTCAAACAATACTTTTCATAGACCTTTCAGATAATCGGAGAAATCGTGCGATAGAGAAAATTGGAAAGGGAAAATCAGAAAAGCTGTATCAATTCAAACGACGCCTAAAGAAAAGCCAACCGGGTTGGTACATACGAGCAATCTACTAAATATATCAAGGAAGCAAAGCTACATTGAAAACCTAGTTTACAACTTTTTTAAATATAAAAGAATTCCAATTTTTTTCTGACTTCTTTAAACAACATTGTATCGAAGAATTACTGCAGCAAGTGATTGAGTTCGGTAGTTGTTCGTATAAAAATAAACAAAATATGGAGATGAGAGTTGTACCATGAGATGATATGATAAGTCAAAGAACATGATTAAGACCATGATCCAACTCAATAAAGCTCACCAAACAAACATTAATGCCATGTGAAAATTAATTCAAATACATTTCTACTTTTTACGAATTTATAAAATTAAAAAAAAAATCACCATGTGAAAATTAATAGAAATACAATACAAATAAAACCCAACAAGCTTACAAATTATATAAATGGTAAATAGCACAAAACCTCCTCTAGTTTGACTTTTTTGCATATGACCCCGTGTACTTTTAACGTAAGCACAAAACCAAGGGCTCCCTTATGGTATTCTACTTTGGTAAATTTGAAAGTAGACGGGAGTTATGTGCTTATATTAAAGTAGAATAGGCTCATGTGCTTTTATCGAAAATACAATAGGATCGTGTGCAAACTAGTCAAACGACAGAAGTGTCGCTCCAAATATTTATTTGGGTACGAAATGCGTGAGATAGGAATTAGCCAACATTATGCCCAATTTAACATGGGCCTCAGTAGTGATATGAAGATTATCTTCCTCAAGTGGTAAGCCCATAGCATCCACACAAACCACATTTGGTAGTTCAATTCCTCTTTTTTGTATTTCTCTAACCTTTTCGAGGTATGCTCTTCCCGACGGAAGGGCTACCTGCAATTTCAACGTTACTACAATCAGAAATGTAAATCGAGCGGATCGGATCAGAATTATAGAATTTAAAACAAATAATAAATTGAGGTTTTTTATTCTTTTTAAAACACTTTTACTAGAGTTTTTGCGGAAACTATTTAAGTGGTGTTGGTTTCTTTTAGTTGTGATCGGCGCGTTGGAATTCCTACTTTTGTGTGTTTAAATTTAGGGGTGGAATTTTGGACGGGAGATTTTTGTATTTTTGTTGATTGCGATTCGATTTTTTTTTTTTTTTGTTTAGAACGGAATTAGATTACATATTACATTTTGAATTATGATTCGATTTCAATTTCGTGGAATTCCAATTTTATTTTTTTTTCAATATTATTATAAATTTTATATTATATTTTTTTTTTCAATGTGAAAATTTCCTACCTTGGAGCAATTTTTTTCTTTCGAATTTCCGAAATTTCGATTTTTCCGATTTTCCTAGTTTAATATATATATATATATATAACACCCCCTTGAGGTATGGTCAAATTACAAAAAAAAACCCTCTTGTTTGGATAATTACAACCACCCATCAACTCCTCAAATTTAGTGGAATCTTCGAGATTATATGGAATATTATCACTTTTGTACCCGTTTTATCCCATTCAAACGCTACATTATGAAGCAAGATGATCATAATATGTGATTTTTAGCTTGTATATATCAGTTTGTGGTGCATTGGAAATTGCATTTTTGCTTAAAACGAGTACAAACTAGAGCACATTCCACGGAATCTAGATGATTATGTTGAATTTGGCACCATAAGGGTGGAGGTGTAAGAAAAAATCATAGTCGAGGGGTGGTTGTAATTACCCAAACAAGAGGGGAGTTTTGTAATTTGACTATACCTCATGGGATGTTTGTAATTTACCCTATATATATATATTAGAAAAATGTCTGGTTTAGTGGTTTACTAAACTGTAAATAAAGCCAAATTATGGACTAACCAGAACAACGGGAAGAGAAGGCAAATCCAAATCTTGACGCACGTTCAGAATAAGCTGCTCAGTTTTCTCCTTGTACACCGCCGCATCCTCCGCCGTGAACGTGTCCTTCTCCCCTTGGTACCACAGCAACGCCTTGATCTCCCCTCCGCCGCTGGCCGCCGCCGCCTTTGCGCGCCTCACCAGATTCTCGTACGGCTCCATTCCGCGAGCCCAGTCCTTGATCGCCGTCCCGGCGACGGCGCACGGCACCAGCCCCACCGCCCCCACGCGCTCCTTCACCGCGTTGGCGAACGCCATCCCGGGGCTGACCCCGCATACCCTGTTGGAGTCGAGACCTTGGTGGAGGGGCTCCGCCGCGGCCTCCCAGCTGCGGTGATCCGGGCCGAGGCGGAAGATCTTGGCGGCGTCCGCGGAGGACTCCGCCGGGACGACGCCGTCCCATATCTTGTTCTTGTCGACGCCGCCGCGGCCGGACATGTTGCTCTGCCCCGCTAGGATAAAGATTTGTTTGTTTTGGGAATCCATTTTTTGGTTATCCTTCAAAGCTCAATTGTTCGACAAAGAGTTTTTGACTTTTTATTGGCGCTTTCACGCGTTCACCTCTAGCTTGGAGTTGACTTTTTATCAAATTATTTGAAAAAACAATTAAAGATAATATATTTTTTTTTTTATGTATGATTATAATTTATATCTTAAATAAATCTAAACAAATGAACAGCCAGTATGGCATGATGCAACAAGAGAGTCTTCACTCTTCACCTTCTCTTCTCCGGCGTGCAATCAAATCAGCTAACAAAGTCAACTTACTTTCCTTTTCTTGATCCATTTGATCTTAATATATATGTTTTAATTAATATTATCTTATGTATTAAGAGCATATTCTTAAACATCAATTAAGATATTCCAATTTTATTCCTAATCATCCACGATAACATTCAAACATAAATTACTCGTTTTGTTGGAGAAATTGACCATTATTAACAAAATAATTGGACATTATTTGATGTTTAGTATCTTCAATGACTCATCGGATCGATCTGCAAATATTTATGTTATCATGACTTATCTTGTATTTTAGGGAGTTTTTTTGTTGGAAATCTCAAGATCCGACAAATAATTGGGTTCTAACTAGATTAGTCAATCTATCTTGAATAATCTTATCTTAGCAACCAAACAAGACCAAACTGGAGATAAATGAAAACAAATTTGTTACTCATTAACTGATGTTACATTATACTAGAGAGAATTAGCACAAAACCAAAGTTAGCAAAAACCAAAGTTAACAATCCAAAATCAGCACAACCAAAAACTGAGATTACAATGGCGGTGTGATTGTTATATTCAGTGGGACAAGACTGTGAAGAGAGGTACATACATGGCTTAAAAATTGCCGATATTACCACCAAAAAACGAAAAGAAAAAAAGAGCACAACGCATTAACGATTTCCCGGAAGCCAATACCTCGACCAACACACCCTGCAAACGTACCACTAGTCTGCATTAAAACAGAGATTGTTGGTCATAAAAAGATTCACCAAATATTTCGTCAAAAAAAATTACCAATACGGTTGAGTTAGAGAAATAAGAAGCTGAAAGTTTTAAACACCATACATGTCGAATGTATTATTTATGGAATTAGAAGTTGAAATGACCGATGCATCGTAATCAAATATATTCACTTCAATAATAGAAGAAATTCATCTTCCACCTGCCTGCATATTCATGATTTAACAACATATGAATATAACAAGCAATCTCTGGCAGCCCCGCCCACTACTTAAAAAGTTATATACGACTCTATGAATATATGGTTTCAAGAAGAATTTGCCAACATTCTTTAATGAAAACAAAGCATAAAATAATAGCCAAATATGCAATCAAAATGCCTTAAAAAAAATTCAAATAATATTTGTTCAATCAATTTAGAAGATGTTCTACAATAACATAGAAAACGAAGATTTCAGAAAAAAAGATTCTTATTTTTCCAGTATGTTATCTAGTGTTATTCTGATGAAGCAAGCAACTGAGTGAATCAATGGAACCATAGACAGTCAAGTGAAATCCAATCCACGAAATAATACTACCCTAATCAAAATGCATACACTAGATGAACACTTATTCATCTTTCACAAGGAATTCGAATTTGTCATCCACTCATCCAAGTGATATATCAATTAACAGTTCCATCCACATCTACGTACCACCTCCATTAGTATAGTACATAGCCACGGTAATTTCTACTCCAGTTTAATAACTTCACGTTTTATTCCTGGTGTCAGAAAGAACTTACTAATTACTATCTCCGTTCCGACACAACAATAGAAAAGAAACTCAAAATAGAACGATACTATTTTACAGAGCAAACTACTAAATGCTTGCATATTAGATTACGATAGATCTGAACTAACTATCTTGGATTCGTAGATGTTTTATGTCTTATATAGGAGTATCGCAACCATAATTAAAAAAAGAACAGTCGAAAAAGGCACGAGGAATAAAATGCCAATAAAGGAAACAGTTGAATTGAAGAGTTCCGAAATTTCATGAGCATGTATTTCTTGCTCTTTCTAGGTAAAACATTGTTTTCGCTCTTCTTACCTCGAATATATGATATTTTATATGTTGCACTCATCAAGTATAAAAGAGATAACAAAATCCACGAGCGATAGCTTTTGAGCCACATGTCACCAAGAAACAAATAATAAACAAATACGGTGATGACATTATCAAGAACATGAATGTGCAGACACAGACAACACACACATACACACATCTATACGGGCAGAGAGAGATATGTACGAAAAAAACAGAATAAGGAATTACCATGAGTCTATTGAGTCTTCTTCGCCTTGTTTGAAGGAAACGGAAGCTTTCGAAGTACCTTATCATCAATTATCTGGTATTGTGCGTGAGCTATTTTATATGCGGCGCTCAGCTTTTCATCGATTGGATTTTGGTACTTTTCATACAACGCAGGCAGTGTTAAACTAAGAAGAACACCTATTTTAAAAAAAAACACATTATTATTATTATTATTAGCAGAATAGAAAATGCACTTTCAGAATCGAAGAGAACTCAGAATTTACCAATGTAGACCAGCGTAAGAAAGTTGAAGAAGCTGCCGATGTATGAAATAACCCACAAGCCAATAGCAACCTAATAAACAAAGCCCACAGGGCATAGTATTCCCCCTTCTATCAGTCATTTGCACGATCATGATTATAAACAAAACAGTAATCGATAAAGAAGAAAATTATAACACCTGAAAAAAGATGATCAAATTTCCACCAATTGCAATGTCGTGTGCAATTGACAAAGCATAGTTTATTGAAACTCGTATCTCGTCAGCCGCCTTCACAACAGCCTCTTCAGAAACTTCAAGATTAGGTAGTGGCGGCAGAGGTCTAAATTTACAAAAAACCAACAACTCATTCATTAAGTTTTATAAATTTTAACCCATCAAGAAACGAACACAGGGCTCAAAATCACTTTCTATAAAAAGAAAACCACTCACGAAATTCCCAAAGCAAACATAATTCTTTTTATAGCCAAATTCGCTAATACGAAAACAGTACGGCGATATAATCCAAGTCGTTCCCAATAGTGTAATACTCGTAATAAGCATATAAATTCAGATAACATCTAATCAACTACCAACATTCAAATTCTACTCGAAATGGAAATACTCGCTATACTCATAATAAGCATAAAAATTCAGATAATACTCGACATGGAAATACTCGCAATACTCGTAATAAGCATAAAAGTTCAGATAATACTCGAAATTGCAATACTCGCAGTACTCGTAATAAGCATAAAAATTCTGATAATATTCGAAATTGCAATACTCGCAGTACTCGTAATAAGCATAAAAATTCAGATAATACTCGAAATGGAAATACTCGAAATGGAAATACTCGTAATAAGCATAAAAACTCAGATAATACTCGTAATAAGCATTACAAATTCATATAAATTCAGATAATACGAAATCACGTACCTATTGAGAAGTGATGCAGATTTAGCCCAAACAAACAAGATTACAACGAGCAGCAACAAAACATTCGATACAAAGGACAGTAAATTGTATCCAGCAATCTCGAACAGGAACCAGAGGGCGGTTGAAGCAACCAGAAAAGCGACGCTCCGGCGCCATTTTTTCCACAATAGCACATCGGAAACTACAATCACGAAAAAAATATTTAGTTCAACATAAATTCTCAAAAAAAAAAAAGCCCTAAATAGTACCAGAATTGTCTGAAATGCGCAATTACAATCTGAATCACGAGTTAGAAAGTATCGAATTCATACCTGCACCACCGCCCAGAGCGAGATGAACAGAGAATCGACGAGATTCTCCCATGAAATTTAGGGTTTCGGAAAATCTAACAGGGAATTTGAATGGAGGCCGGAGAGATTCAGTAAATCGAGGGAGGGAGGGAGAATTTGAAGGGGACGACACGACGGGAATTTCGCAATTTTACTATCAAGTCCAAAAACTACATTGGTATTTTATTTATTTATTTAATCATTTGGTTATTAACCAAATAATTATTCCAAATTAGAGCATTTTTTTGATT